CCCCCCATTATTCTTCTCCAGGGGGAACTGCTGAAAGCTCTTCCCAGCAAAATAAGCCTGTCCTTACGCACAGAGGCTTGGAGATTGATTGGAGCTAAAAAGCCAAAATAGGTCAGATCTTATGGGTAGGCTTCTAGTTCACATACTTATTGCCTTTCTTCCTACTTTTTTTTTGTTTGAATGGTGAATTTGTATCCACAAATAAGCAAGTTCACTGTGTGAGCAGCTCATTTGCAGCTGCAAAAGGCCTGAGTAAGCAGAGATGTGTGGTGAGGACTTGGGTGCAGGACAGGATCCCACTGCTGGGGCTTGTCTGTCCCTCCACAGCCAGCCAGCTCCTACACTAAAGGTCTGTGTGCAGGCTGTGCTAACCCAGGTCTGGCAGATGAAAGTCACGAGGGGTTACACGGTCTGCCTGCGCCTAGCAGCTGAATAAGAAATCACATTTATTTTTGTACACCCGGGTCCTGCGGTTTCTGTAACCACCATGCTGTACACTTCATTTCTATGCACTAGTCAGTGTTAGAAGTGGACTTTCAGGATTCAACCTGTGGGATGAGAACTGTTCCCACTCCCCTGAGGGGCATCCCATGAGGGTTGTTTCCACCCAGCAGCTCCTGTAAGTATGCTGTGGGGTTTCTCTGGAGAGCAGAGGCAACAACGATGTCTCTGCACAGATGTGCTGGGAATGGCAGGGGGGTTAAAACCTCATTTACCAGTTCATGCCCTACCTGATTACTGAGGGCTGTGCAAGCATAGATCAAAGCCAGCATGCAGTGTAAAGGGGAAGTCAGGGTCTCCAGGAAGACCTTTCTTTTGCCCCAATTTTCTTTAATTCATTTTTATTATTCAGGGGCTGTGCAAAGTGTTGCCTGGGCTGGTAGGAAATGCACTTGGCTGATGCCAGCCCCGAGAGCCAGAGCCTTGCCATGGGCGTTTAATGTTTGCATGTGCACTCCCCAACTGCCCCAGGGGTGGAAATCCCTACTGGCAGGGTTGTTTCCCCAGCCAGGGGATGCCTGGAAAGCCAGGAGATCCTGAGCATCCCTCTGCTTCTTCCACCCATAACCCATGCTGGGAAGGGGGTTTCCTCCCACAGAACAGGGCAGAGGGTGGCAACCACCAGCCCTTGTCTGCTGAGCAGGGAGAAGCTTTCCTCTGACCAAATTTCAGCACTTTTCTAAAAGTGAAGATGAAATGAGAGGAGGCAATGGAGCTGAGCAGCCCTTCCTGGAGGGAAAACACCACCTCTGATTTCTGCTCTGTCCTTCCAAGTGCTGCAAACCGAGCCTGACTTCTCCTTTCCATCTACCTGCCTCTAATAACTGCAGTATTGCTTGCATACAGATACGTGTATATGCACATGCACACACTCCTCTCTGCAGGAGCACCCCCCATGCACACAATGCCAGACACGCAGGAAGGCGTTTCAGGCAGATGCTTGCTGGTCCCCGCAGCTCATCCTACAGCTGCGTAGCACAGAGCAGCTATTACCCCACTGCACACAGCCAGGATGTTGCTAGACAGAAAAGCCCAAACTCACTGCGAGCGCTGCCGCTGCTCCCTGGTGCAGCCTGTCCGGTGGCAGCATCCAAACTTTGCCCAAGATGCTGCTGTTTATATTTCCCCCTTCCCGTGCTGGCAGGAAGCAGGCAGGAGCCGGGCTGGGGTGCAGCTCCGCTCCCCGGCGTGCTGGGATTTGTAGGCAGCCCAGCGGGTTGGAGTCGTGCCCGAGCCAGACTGCATTTCCCAGCCAGCACCACGCAGGCGGCTCATGGCCGCCCGGGCCTGGCCGTGGGCCTGGCTGTGGACACGGCCGTGCTCTGGGGAAGTGGCTCAGCTCTGGTCCTGCTTTTCGGGCTCCCTCGGAGCTCGTGCTCAGTCGCCATTCGCTGCCCACAAGTGCTGCTGCGATGCCTATTTCTGTAGCCAGGGTATTTATAGCGTGCCTCCAGACCTCCCAGCCCTTGCATATGTAATGGTTGTGTTTTTAACCGAAAATATAGGGGTACCTGTTCAAGAGCAGCTTGCAGCGTATGCAGGTAGATGCAGAGACCTGGGCCAGGGAGAAAGGCTGGTGCAAAGTGTGGCAGGGTGCAGCGGCAGCTCACCGCATCTGCAATTTCACTGCCCTGAGCAGGGGTGATTTTTGGGCTGGGATCTTGCTTTTCCAGGTGGGCTGTGTGGCACCCAGCCCCGTGAGGCTCATGCTGTTGGGGTATTTCAACACCCCCTTTCGGCCCAAGAGTGAGATTTGGGGGAGGCGGAGGGGTGCTGACACAAAGGAGCAGCTGCCATCCTGCAGCTTTTCCCTTGACCAGCCAGGTCACGTCCCTGCCCCGCTGCTGGAAGATGGCCCAGACCAGCAGCCTCCCCAGCTTGGCTCCTGCCAAAGGAGACCAAACTCACCAGCATTAAGGCCAAGCAGCCGTCCCCTTGTGTGGCACCAGGTAATCACCAGCATCACCAAATCTCCTCTCAAAGTGCAGGCTGCAACTGGGGTCCTGCACAGCTTGGCTTCACAGAGATGCTTGTCTCTAGCAAACAGCCTGTCAAAAAGGCTACCGATATGCTCAGCTTTTAGCATGCATATGCAAACCCCCTTTCCCTGACTGATTTTACTGGACATGTTCCCTTTTCCCCCTGTCCCCCTTATGCATTTCTCCCATGCATCCTCCAGGACTGCCAGTTTAGAGCAAAAAGTGTTTTGACATCTATGTTTCCCCTCCCAGAGTTTTGCTGCATCATCATTCCCACAGCAACTCCTGCTCCTGGAGACGATGCTTCTCTGAGCAGCAGGAGTGCAGGGTGCTTGCGAGTGAGACCATGTTTCGGGTGACCGAGGGGCAGCCCCTGCACCTCTCCTGTGGCCAGGCGCCCAGTGTGGCAACGCCTTGGTGGCCATGTGAAAATCTGGCAGGACCAGTGAGCCAGGGTGGCCGGGCAGAGCTGGGATGGATCTTGTTTCCGGGGCCTCTTCCCCCATCTCCGCATCAGCCATCGGGCACTGGCAGTATCGCTCCCTGCTTCCAGTACCGCCCCAAATTTCCATGGTGACAAGGCGGGTTTTGGGCTGACTTTGCTGAATTGGCAGCAAGAGAAGAAGTGTGCAAGGATAAATTTAATGCTACAGGGATGCCAGTGAAATCGCTCCTGGCCGTGTGCCTGTGCTGCTCCTGTTGGTGCTGGGGGATGGAGCCACCCAAGCAGTATCCCCTCACCCTGTCAGTCCTCCCTGCCGGGTTGGAGCAGAGCATCCTCGTTCATCCCCACTGCCGCACGCATTTCCCGGGCCCTCGTGTGGTGCATTAAACCACTGTGTGTCCCTGTAGGCCAATGAGCTGGGCTCCCTAAGTGCAGAGCTCACCAGGGATGGATGCAGCCATGCACCCGTCTCCTTGCAAGCGTCCGTCCCCTTGTGCGAAGTGCCTGCAGCCACACGGTCCAGCCCAGCATCGCTGCAGGAATAACTTGAAGAAGTGAATTTGCCAGGGCATAGAGCTGGGCAGCGATGCCCACTGGCTTCTTATAGGCAGGAGGGCAGGTTTTGCTTCCTGGTCCGGCAGGGAGTTCCCCTCTGGCTTTTCGCCTGCGTGAGCACCGCTTGGGTCAGCAGCAAGGTGGAGCCGACGGAGCTGCTGGGGCTGCCTGGTTCCTGGGCTGGCAAAGCAGACTTTCCTGTTTCGGCTGTGCAGTGCAGCCACCATCCCTGCTGCACCCTCGGCTCCGCACCCAGCGGGGTCCTGTCTCACCCCGCAGCATGCCCCTGCCACGCACGGCAGCTAGGCTCAGAGCCCGCACGGCAGGGAAGGGAGACTGAGGCTGGGAAGGAAACGCATCGGTAAGTCTGGTTTTGGGAGCCCAGTCACCACAGGGTTGGGAGCGAGAAGCAGGGCTCCCCCAGCCCCTTTTCCAGGAGCAGGGGTGCTTGATGCTCCCTGCAGAGCTCACCGAGGCTGCGCTGCCTCTCCCAGACCGCAGCAGGGCTGTCCCCATCGTCACTAAAACAGCGGCTCAGGTCACCCCATGGGGCTGGGATGAGCTTTTTTTTTAAACCAGGGCCAATGTCAGACTAATGTGACACAGCCCATGGGGGTCTGGCAGGGAAAAAGTGCTGAAACACCTAATTCTGTGCTGGGTGGGTGCCTGCTCGTCTGTGCTGTTGTGTCCACCCACTGCCACAGCCTGAAGCCGCAGCCCGGCTCCTCCTAAATATCACAGGCACGTCACCAGCCACCACTTTCCATGTGCAGTGACAGGAGAAAAGCTGCTGGTGGCGAGGCTGCGAGTAGAGCTCGGGTGTCCAACGGCACAGATGTCCCAGGTGGCCCTGGGCAAGTCACTTAACCTGCACCTCACTGCCCCAGCGATGATGCCGCATGGATGATAGCAATTCCCACATCCCTCCAGCCCTATGCCTGCACGCGGCAAAGCCCACTGTTGGGAAAATTAAAAGCTCTTGCTGGCTTTGTGGGCTCAGCGGAGGGAGGCGCAGAGGTGGTTTCTCCCCGGTAGGATATCCGTGCAAGGAGCCATGGCCCTGCGGCGTGGGCAGAACGTGGGCAGAGCGCAGGCAGAGTGAGGTGGTGTTGGCTGTTTGAGCAGGGACCCACTCAGACCCGGGGCAGGCAGCTGGGGAAGCCAAGGCAAACAGGCACATACCTGCCAGCCTCTGTCACGGCACTGGGACCGGGTGCCACCAGCGCCGTGATGGCTGCAGACCCACTTGCCGTGCAGCCTGGCTCCTGGTGCACCTCTCCTGCTGCCGCTCGTCACCCGAAAGGAGGCAAGAAGGAAGTTTTGGCTACGAGGAAGTGTTCATGCTAGAATAAGAGCCTTGCTATGGGGAGAGCAGTAGTGAAAAGCCATTCTGCTTTAAATTTGAAGCCTTCCCTTAAGCTGCGTCAGTGTTGCCATGTGCACGGGTTGGGCTTACGCAAAGTTTCCGAGCCAGCGTGAACCCAGCCTGGTGGCACCACTGCCACCTGCAATGTGGGCACCAGCCCCGCTGCAAGCCCAGGAGCAAACCCTCCTGCTCCTCAGCTCTGCAAGAGGGGGGAAAATAGCCAAAAAAGGGTGTTAGCTAATGGTGGGGCTTGCCTGGGGCTGAGCAAACCCTTCAGCTCATGCTGGCTGTCCAGGGAGGAGCCAGCACAAAACAGCTCTTGGGTTTTTTTCCCCTACAGCCAGGTGATTCCTCTTCTCAAAAACAAAGGAAAACTCCCTAATCCATCCTCCCTCTCCCTCCCCTTTCCGAAGGCAGGCTTGCAAGGATATAAATGAGAAGGCTGTAGGTGAGGGGCCGGCTGGCGCAGAGCCCTCCCTGCCCCGCGGCTCCCTCCTGATCTATTTCACACCTCATTGCCAAAGTGGCCAAGCCCTAAATGCTTACGCTGGGCTCTATGTTTTAATTGTGTTTGCTCTCATTAGAGCCCTGGGCCACCGGCAGCACACCGTGCTACTGGAAAGGAAATCCCCACCCTGTTAATTTTGCTTGCGTCCCCAGGTCACCCCAGCTTAGCCATGGCGGTGGCAGCCAGGAGAGGCAGGGCGACGGTCTCCCCACTTGCCGGCAGCCCTGTGTCCATTGCCACCACGGCTCGGCCAGGCTTTCTGGGTGGCTGGCTTAGCTGGATCCCATGTAAGTATGACAGTGCTTGCCCTGCTCCCTCAGGCAGCGTTTTCCTGGGGGGCTCCTGGATTCTGAGGCTGTGTATCCACTTCTCCCTCCCTTCAAATCCCGTTTTCCAGCAGTGTCCATTGGGGTGGGGATGTTGCAACGTGGTACTGCACTGCTCCAGGAGCGCAGGGCATCCTTGCTGCCCATTTGGGGAATGGTCTGCAGCCGCAGCCTCCCTGCATGGGGCCTGTCCAGCATTATAGGGGCAATTTTGAAAGTACAACTCCTTAATGCTGAAGCACCGGGAAGGGTGTTAAATGCACTCTACACGTTTTCGCTTGAGTTTAACTCTTCTGTCCATCTCTGCTCCCTGAACATCGCACCAGTACCCAAATGGGCGCTCATTGCTGTGGCTGTGGCAGTGGCCGTTCTCCTCCTCCTCTTCCTCATCTGCATCGTCAGGTGCTGCTGTGGCAAGAAGAAGCCCAAGAAGAAGGAGAGAGTCAGCTTGCGTGCTGTCAGTGGCTCCAGCACAGCCTGCCTCGTGCGTCCTGCTTTCCCCTCTCCCCCACCTCCCTCCTCCCCAGAGGTTTGCTGCCACACTGCCCGGTCCTGGGGGTGGTGGGAGCACGGCATGGCCGGGGACATGGCTGAGCATGTCCTGAGGGTAGTGCTGCTCTCTGCTGCAGGTACAGCCTGAGATGGAGGACCTGGAGCGGGGAGCGGAGCAGGCAGGGCGAGGAAAGCTGCAGTACTCCCTGGAGTACAACTTCCGTGTGCAGGAGGTGGGGATGCTTGCGGCCATAGCATGGCAGGGAAAAGGCTTTGGTCTTGCATGGTCCCTCTTTGCTGCCCACCAAGGTGGACCATACCTTCTTGCACCTCGCCCCCGCCCACAGCCTGCTGGCTTTCATGCCCACGTGCGTGGAGGTGTCCTCCCTGCTGCACTTGCTTGCTTCCCACTGAGCCCCCAGTCATCTGCCCCGTCGTCCTCCACCTGGTGACCTTGTGCATCGCTCCTTTTAAGCTGAAAGTCGGTGTGAAGCAGGCAGCCAAGCTGAAGGCCATGGACAGTGGAGGCACATCCGATCCGTACGTGATCGTCTACCTAACATCCGATATGAAGAAGAAGTACGAGACCAAGGTTTACCGTAAGACCCTGAACCCCGTCTTCAATGAGAGCTTCACTTTCCAGGTAGAAAACTATAGCTGATGATGTTTTTATGGTCCCATCAAGAGTGTTGCATGGCACTGCTCCCTG